CAGAGTCTCACTACACTGATCGGACTATAGCGATCCTTCTGTTCTTAGCCTCCCAAGAACTGGGATTATAGATGTGTGCCACCAAGCCCAGTCTCAATCACTGTCTCAGCATGCCCTGGGGGCTGGGCTAACATGGCATGCCGGGGATCGAACCCCAGTTCCTGAGCCTACCTAAGCAGGCGCGTTAGTCTGCTGAGCTATCTGGCCGGCCCTCACGGTGTGTTTTCTTCATTTGCTACTTCAGTCATTACAAAGAGGAGTGAGTGGGATATGACATGGCACGATGGCTGAGTTAAGAGATCCTGTCAACACTCTTTTGTCTCACAGCTCAGATACTGCAAGTTCTCTGAAGGCAGAATCCATCAAAATCTATCACTAAATTAGCAGTGGGGAGGTTGGAGGTACATTAGGTGAAAATTCAGAGAGGGGAGAAAATCTGTGAGACCTGAAACCCATGATCTTTGATACATGACTACAAACTAATGCCTGTGATCACAAAGTGTTGTAGAGATTGGGCGTGTGGTGTGCCCCTGTAATCCCAGCTCTTGGGGGGCTGTAAACAGGAGAATCACTACTAGTCCAATCTAGTTACAGTTACAATTGTCACAGAAAAAAAAAAAAAAAAAAACATTGGAAAGGAAACAATTCAATTTTATCAATATTTCTAAAATCTTTTAAAGAGTTTGACTACCTAGAGAAGGCATAAACAAGGTGTACGAAGAATTAAATTTTGAAAAATACAACTAATATTAAAGAAAATATGAGCCCAAGTTATGTTTGGAGTTGGAAGTACACTCCAAAGTTAAACTGAAAGAGAAACACTAGTCAGTCAATCAATCAATCAATCACTTTGTTGTGGGGGGAGAGGAATATTTAGTAATGGGTCATTTTATCAGGTTATTGTATTTTTTTTTAACTTTTTTTTTAACATTTATTTATTGTGTGTATGTGTGTGGCCAGCTCAGCCCACCAGGGGGCGCAGCTGGCTGGCATGTGGTGCTGGGGGATCGAACCGCGGTCCCTGTGCTTTGCCAAGCTTGTTCCAAGTAGGTGCTTTAGACCACTGAGCCATCTCTCCAGCCCCAGGTTATTGTATTCTTGAGTAATGTTTTAAAATTCCACAAATTACTAAAAATAGTTTTTTTTTTAATGAATGATCAAATAAACCGTAGCTTCCTCATTATTACCCCAGACTGTTTCTTTCCCATGCCCTCCATGGAGGCATCTGCGAAAAGCAAAGCTGTGAGCCGTACCCAGCAGCAGCTCACCAGGATTAAAGGCATCTACATTCTCTGCCTCCTTCCTGGGGGCATCCTTTATTCTACTTTTGTTTCTTATCAACCTCATTTCTCTTGATTTCTTTTAGTGTGACATGCCATATGACAGGCATCTTTGGGAGTTGACATTTTATACTGGAAGCAGGCTATAAATTCCTATTTTCTTGCCATTTTCGGGATTCATTTGGACACCTTACAGGAGGACTCTTGGTGTGAAAGCAGAGTGTGCTGGATGGATGGGCGCAAATTCTTTCTCCTGAGTCAGGAAAGCATGAAGCATTCTTAGGGTTGGGGAAACCCTGTGAAGGGATGGGAAGGCAAAGATTTGTCATGCACAGGGCATAAGGCCCCCAGAAGGCAGGATATGTTACCTGTGTGTGGATTCCCACACAAGGGCCCCAGCTCTCCTGTACCTCTGTGACACCCACAGCCTGCATTCTTACCCTTCTCACTCGTAACTTCTGCCTAAGATGGACATTACCAAGACAAGGTGTTGCTGACAAAGAAAGGAACCCTTTCTGGAATTGTGAATGATCTAAACAATATCCTGCAAGGTGACATGCCATGACCCTTACTCCTGACACGTCAGCATCATTAGATTAAGATATGATGAACAGATTAGTAAGACATGCTCCTTGGTGCATCTGGGTAGGTCGTGGAGGTATGACCTCCGAGGTTTTCATCTGGGCCCTTGCTCCTTCGTCTCTGGGCCTGTTCCTCTACTCTGCCTCCTGTGGGCACTGTGGACTAAGATTTTTTGTTCCACTATACTCTTCTGCCAGATTTCTACTTTGGAGCCCTGGACTGAATCATTTGAAACCATGAGCCAAACCTCTCCTCTCCTCTATGGGTGTGTTTGGTGTTGTATCAAGCAGTGGGAGGGCTAATATACAGGAGCAAACAAAGCCAATGGCTGGTATTTCTTACAAAGGTGGTTGGTCACTAAGCACCACATAAAAGTAGGGCTTTATCAGCGCAGATTTTTAGTGTGCTAGGGTATGGCTAAAATGCCAGGATAACATATATAAAAAGGGAAACTTAGGTTGTTAGCTGTTGAACTCGGTGAGTGCTCTTATTCATTTGAAAAACAAAACAACAGTCAGAACCAGTTGTGCTGCACACAATTATGACCTTCAGTGCTTAGGAAGCTGAGAAAAAGAGTACCACTGGGTTCAAGGCCACTCTTGAGCAATACAGGAAGACCCAGGAGAAAGCAAGAGGGAGGGAGAGAAAAGAGGGGAGACTGGGGAGAGAGGAAGAGACAGTGGGGGAGAGACAAAGATGGATATAGACCCAGAAAGCCAGACAGATCACATTAAAATCACAGCTCAGCAGGATGGTACCAGCATGTAGAAAGCCCTGAGTCCTCAGAACTGCCCCCCACCAAAATTGAAAAGAAAAAAAGTAACCCCAAAACAAAAACAGGTGATGACTGCAGTAGCACCGCCCCCCCCCTTCACGTGTCAGGCACACCCTCACTTCCCAAGTGCTGCATGCTGACAACTGTCTCCATCTGAAGACGGTGGATGCCAGGTCCCAGGGCAAAACCCCCAGTCTACATGAGGTGGGCTGCGGGTCCAAACATGGGCCCTAGATTTTTGTGAAGAAAACATTTTCTCCCTCCAGGTAGGAAATAAAGGCACAACCCAAGAGAAATTTTAGTACAAAGAGCTTTTATTGACATTGTAAGAAACATTGTTTTTCTTTCTTCTTTGTTACAAAAGGACCGAGTGGTTCTGAAAGCCAAGGCAAGGTTCATCTGCGGCTGTGCTGCAGCTCCCGGGGCTGGAGCTGGGCACGCAGCACAGGGCTGCGGGCTTCTCAGAGGAAGGCCCAGGCTGTTCACATCGGAACACTATGCCTACAATACTTAAATGTATTTACATGTGTTTCTTTTAAAAAAGGATTACACATTTATTTTTTTAAAAAACCTAAAAAAGGTGAACAAACAAAATGAACTTGTATCTTATCTTACACATTTGCAGGATACACAAGGGTAACTTGTCAGAAAAGAACATCCTCCTGTCACTTCAGAGCAACACAGGAAACCAGGACACGAGACATCTCGGACGGCTCCATCCTGCGCACCCTCCCTTCCCATCCAGCATCCCTTCCCTCGCCAGACGCTGAGCACATGGCCTGGAAGTGTTGGCTGGGCGGCACCAGCCACTGGTCCCGCTCACTGACAAGATTAACAAAAAATAAGGCACATATATCGCAAGAATCAAAACTCAGAGGCCATGTAAGGAGTAGGGGGTGGTTCGATTTGCTCTTTATAAAAATAAAATAATGGCTGCAAAGATTAAAAACAAGTTTAACACAGATGTCAAACCAGAGTACCGCGTATGAGCTTGCATTTTACTAAAGAGTAAACAGTGATGTCAGTCAGTGCGGTGTAGGTTCCTCAATGCATAGGTGGGGGGTGGTGGAGGCTGTGAGTGGGTCCTGCAACAGGAGACAGCAGGTGCATGGAGGCCCTGCGTCGTCGTAGACACTTCTAAGTGACCTCCGAAGACTTTCCTTCCATTGCACGGTTGCACAGATCACGGAAATCCCTGGCTGGTCCATTTTCTTCTTCCCTCCCTCCTTTCTTGCTTCCTTCTGAAATGTCCACACTGAGAAAAGCCAAATATTGAGCTGAATCATGTCTCCTGTGACCCAACAAGAGGCAGCAAGGAAAACAAGGAAAAGAAAGAAAAATTGTAGAAGGAGGTAAACTCAGAGGTTACTCTAAAAGCAGAGGGCAAAAACAAAGGAAGGAAAGAGCGTGGGTAAACCCTAATCAGCATATGAGTGCCTGGACACTGAAACTCGAAGGACTGGGAGAGTCTGGGGATGCAGCACTAATACTGTGAAGGGCAGGTGACCTGTCTGACACAGAGATAAAGTCTGGCTTTTTAGCGGAAAAGTGGTAGAGACTCTACTGCCCTGAGCTCAGATCAGCAGCTGTCTTTTGCTTATGGACTGTTCCAAATGGGGTACCTTCTCTGACTCGAAAGGGGCTCCCTGGGGAAGACAGCAGGGCGTGGGGCATAAGTGCAGGAAGCAGGGGCATAGCAACCCTCACAGCCCTAGCCACAGAGCCCTGTGTGGCCATTCTATCTCCAGGCTGTGATTCTTGGCTCAAATTGGAAAAAGTAAACATGAAAAAAACAGGCTGCTATTAAAGAGCCTTTGAGAAACACTTCCTTTCACTTGACTTTAGTTTACTGGTAAATAAAATGGCAGTAATTAAAGGGAAAAGCCACATGGCTGGAGCATCAATCACTCTGGGTAAATCCAACTCCAAGGATGAATGGGGAAAGGATGCTGTAGGTAGTTTAAGTCTTAATACTATATTGTAATAGTTTACATGTTTTTAAAGTAGCATGGTGGATAATCCACATCTTCTTTGTGCACACATATCATGGCTTTTATGTGTATCAAATGCACATGGGAAGTAGCTATACTTCTTCAACCTTTAAATGTTTTAACCCAAAACAGAAGCACAGATACAAGGCCGTACAAAGGACAGTGTATAAAACTGAACTTCTAAATGAGTGCAGCACTCAGTGGACAGAATGTAAACAATGGTACCCACACAGCTACTAAAAGCCTGCCTGCCTGCCTGCCTGCCT